TATACTATGACGTTTTTATGACTTACTATACTATGACGTTTTTATGACTTACTATACTATGACGTTTTTATGACTTACTATACTATGACGTTTTTATGACTTACTATACTATGACGTTTTTATGACTTACTATACTATGACGTTTTTATGACTTACTATACTATGACGTTTTTATGACTTACTATACTATGACGTTTTTATGACTTACTATACTATGACGTTTTTATGACTTACTATACTATGACGTTTTTATGACTTACTATACTATGACGTTTTTATGACTTACTATACTATGACGTTTTTATGACTTACTATACTATGACGTTTTTATGACTTACTATACTATGACGTTTTTATGACTTACTATACTATGACGTTTTTATGACTTACTATACTATGACGTTTTTATGACTTACTATACTATGACGTTTTTATGACTTACTATACTATGACGTTTTTATGACTTTTTATGCCTTACTATACTATTATATTTTTATGACTTTTTATGCCTTACTAAAATTTGACCTTTTACGACTTTTTATGCCTTACTATACTATGTCGTTTTTATGACTTTTTATGACTTACTTAAGTATGACTTTTTATGCCTTACTATACTATGTCGTTTTCATGACTTTTTATACCATACTATAACTTTTTATTACTTTTTACGACTTTTTATGTCATACTATGACGTATTTATGACTTTTAATGCCATACTATACTATGATATTTTTTTGACTTTTTACGCCCAACTATACTATGACATTTTATGCCATACTATACTATGACTTTTTATGACTTTTTATGCTTTACTATCACTTTTTATGCCTTACTATACTGTGACCTTTTATGCCTTACTATACTATGACGTTTATATCACTTTTTATGCCTTACTATACTATGACTTTTTATGCCTTACTATACTATGACTTTTTATGCCTTACTATACTATTACATTTTTATGACTTTTTATGCCTTTCTAAAATGTGACTTTTTACGACTTTTTATGCCATACTATACTATGACGTTTTTATGACTTTTTATGCCTAACTATAGTATGACGTTTTTATGACTTTTTATGACTTACTATACTATGACTTTTTACGCCCAACTATACTATGACATTTTATGCCATACTATACTATGACTTTTTATGACTTTTTATGCTTTACTATCACTTTTTATGCCTTACTATACTGTGACCTTTTATGCCTTACTATACTATGACGTTTATATCACTTTTTATGCCTTACTATACTATGACTTTTTATGCCTTACTATACTATGACATTTTTGTGACTTTTTATGCCTTACTATACTATGTCATTTTTATGACTTTTTATACCTTCCTATACTATGACTTTTTATGCCTTACTATACTATGACGTTTTTATGACTTTTTATGACTTACTTAAGTTAGACTTTTTATGCCATACTATACTATATCGTTTTTATGACTTTTTACGCCCAACTATACTATGACATTTTCATGACTTTTTATACCTTCCTAAACTATGACTTTTTATGCTTTACTATACTATGACGATTTTATGACTTTTTACGCCCAACTATACTATGACATTTTCATGACTTTTTATACCATACTATAACTTTTTATGACTTTTTACAACTTTTTCTTTCATACTATGACGTATTTATGACTTTTAATGCCATACTATACAATGACTTTTTATGCCTTACTATACTATGACATTTTTATGACTTTTTACGCCCAACTATACTATGACATTTTTTGCCTCACTATACTATGACTTTTTACGACTTTTTATGCCTTACTATACTATCACTTTTTATGCCTTACTATACTATGACTTTTTACGACTTTTTATGCCATACTATAGTATGACGTCTTTATGCCTCACTATACTCTTACGTTTTTTATGAGTTCTTATGCCTTACTATAGTTTGACTTTTTACAACTTTTTATGGTATAGTTAACTATGACACTTTTTATGCCTCACTATACTATTACGTTTTTATGCCATGCTATAGTATGACTTTTTAAGCCATACTATAGTATGAGCTTTTTATGCTATACTATACCATGACTTTTTATGACTTTTTATGCCAGACTATAGTATGACGTTTTTTATTACTTATGCTGTTTATGCCTCACTATTGTGTGACTTTTTATGCCATGCTATAGTATTACTTTTTTATGCCTTACTATACTGTGACGTTTTTGTGACTTTTGATGCCTAACTATACAATGATGTTTTTAGGCTTTAACATACTCTGACGTTTTCATGAATTTGTGTACCTTATGATAGTATCACATTTTTATGACTCTTTATGCCATACCATATTGTGACGTTTTTCTGCCTTATTACACTCTGACGTTTTTTAAGACTTTTCATGACTTACTATAGTATGACAGAATCTGGTTTTCCAGGGATTTGATTTGATCTGATCCGCTGAAATTAACCTGCAACAGAGTAGGTTACAAGTCCAGTGTAAATTACCATGGTGATTTACCCTGGTAACAAGTGAACCACCGTCGTAAGACTGAAAACCCAGAGGTAAACCTGAAGTTACCTCGATAATCTCAAATCCTGATTTGTAGTACTGGCCTCTCATCACCTGCTGATGATGTCTTTAATGCAACTGATTCAAGGAAAATAAAGACCAGAAACTGTGAAACAGCTAGCATGGCCCCATCCAACGGTAAAAACAGAAACTCTTCCTACCAGCACCTCTAAAGCACACTATTTAACGTGATATCTTTTTTGTTTAGTCTGTGCAAAAAATAAAACTGTTAAAACAATGATTTATAGTTTTACATGAGGTTTTGTGCCGGACAACTTCCTGGCCATTAATCACTTCCTGTAGGAGAGAAGGCAAATAAGCATATTTATCAAAAATGTTGAGCTATTCCTTGAAGGTCAGATGATATTGTGTGCATATTCCCATATTGCCAAAGAAAGTTACACTTGATTAACTTGCTACAAACTAATGGTAACACAGAAATTCTGAGGCTTTTGGTTGCTCTTGGAAGTCTTGGACCCTGGAGACGTTACCTGCTAATTCAAGTCTCAGTCAAGGGTCACCAAAATCTAAAATCATCCTCACAAAGTCAAACATCAAACATATGTCTCTGTATGTCAAATAATGACACTGCACAATGCAATTTGAAATTTCTTTTTACTTAAAAAAGATCAAAATAAAGTTGTACAATTGAACCAAAATAAGACGCCATATTACACTTCAGCTCTAAAGACGGATGGCAGGACGAAAAAGCATGACCTGAAATATATCAGCTGGTTTTTCTCTGCTGCAGACTTCCCTGACCAGCCGCTACATGTGTGAGGGAACGAACTGGATGAGAACTGGGAATAAACGATACATTTGAACCAGCACCATCGTCGGCTGGTGTTGCTGAAGATGCGGCGTCTTGTGTCCTATTGCAGATTGTCCGTCTGTTTCCCAAAAGAGACGAGGACACTTCAGTCAGTGAGACTGGAGCAAATACATTTCTGCTACAGTGTGTCCAGCCTCCCCGGAGGATCCACAGTGTTTTCAATAAGGAAGGGCTCTAACTCATTGTTCAACATACAAACAGTGGCTTCATCAGCTCAGGTTTGACGTCTTACTGGAAATATTATAGACACTTCAAATAAACATATAGTGAGAAATGAGAAATAACATTTTTCAACCCCCCCAATCATCATCATCGTCGTCTCTCGACTCATGTCTCCACACATGTAATGGTCTAAAAGATCTACCCAGATAGTACTTGACTGTCGACATTTAAAACCAGGAGACAGACAGTTTCTTTTTAATTTCTCAGTACAAAAAATAGATCAAAGAATGAAAAAAATAGTTATATTCTGACTGCAGAAACTTGATTTATAAAGCTCTACTCGTGAGCAACTCTCTGGGTGTAGGTCTGCACAGTGAGGGTTGTGGTTTAAGGATTGGGGGTGGAGCTAGTTAACATTCATTGTTGAATATATTTATTAATTTGTTATGCAACAGGTATCAGAATATTTGGGCAGTCGATACCTCTTCACATTTAAGAGTTTGAATGTTCCTATATAATACAGTTATGTATTCAACATGATTACGTAACAAATTTTAACACTGCCTTCCACATGTCTCCTCCTTCAAGTGGCATCAGCATCATCTTTTTCATTATTGCGATGAATAAAATCTTTAAAGATGATTTACAAAAAACAACTGTCTGTCTGTCCACTACAGTATCTGCTATGTACATCTGTTTAAAAAGCAAGCATGTTACACAGTCGTCCCTATGTACAGCTAGATTTTTCATCTTGTTTTTCATGGAATATACATATTTACTTATTTTCACAGCTTTCTATGTTTGCTCATATATTCAATATCAATAGATTTCATTTTTGTTATTATGAATACAAATATTTTTTTTGTCACATCTTCACGGCACCGGGCTACAATTCTTCCAGTGTCACTTGTTGATATCTAGTGAGATTGTTGTCTCTTGAATGCTGTTTCATGTCTGTGTAGCAAATACTGTTCAGTTTGAAAACAATCTTGATTGTGGTTCAGTTTTTGCCAATTCACAGCAATCCAAAAAAAAAAAAAAAAAAGCACAGTTTTGAGTTTCAAGTTTACAGTTTTCTGGTCTTCATCTTTATCATATATCATGATATTTTTCATTTTCTACCCCGCTGTTCCTCTTCCGTCACTGGAGTTGTAAAGGGTGAGCGGCTCCAGTGGATTCCCATGACCCGTTGACTCAAAAAGAAAAGCTTCCATGTGGACACACTGTAAAAAAAAAAAACAAACTTCAGAGTGAAATCATCGAGCCCACAACAAGTCTGAACCTCCAACGGTGGGATTTGTTGTTTGCTCCTCTGGCGGTCCCGTCTCGCCCACTGGAGGTGACCCGTTGTGTGTGAATCCTGTTTCTTTGTGGTGAGTTTCTGGTTGTTGCGTGGGCGGTGCGATTAATGTTTGTTTCTGTTGTTATTGGAATAAGGCACTTGAGAGGTTTTTGGTTTTCACGGGAGCTCAGAGGAGACCAGGGCGAGGCCGGAGCTCTGGCGGAGGGGAGGCCCGGTGTGAACGGCCTTGGGACAGTCGGGCGTCAGCACCCGTCCGTTCTCCCCAACGCTGCCCGTGATGGACAGACGGGCCTTGTTCCTCATGGCTTCAGTAAATGTTAGCTGAGGAGAAAAATGAAAAGACAGGTTTGTGTTTGGAGCAGGTGAAAGTGAAAAAAAAGAAAAATGTACATTTGCAGATTGGAGTTTTAGGATGCGTTCATGCTAAATGTGTTTCGACATTATCCTTAATCAAGATACATTACAAAGTTTCCTATATAGGAAGTAATTAGGCAGAACCTGTTTCTGAAAGAGACAGAGCAATCATCCAGAATCATCATCACCAACATCCTAGAACAACTACTTTTTTGGGATCCTAACACCTAAACACTGGCCAACGGACAATTTAGTACTTTCCTTTAAATGTTACCATTGCTGCATATATATAAAGCTCTGACCATAATTTCTGTCACTTATGATAACACAGAACTCATAAAATTGCTGAGTGAGGGAACCTGGAGACATTGCTAAAAAAAGATGTCAGGGTCAGACCACTTTTCAAACAAACCTGAGGTTCTACAAAAATAAAGTTGTAGTAAAACATAGTTTTGTTAAATCAAAAATAAATATAATGTGCGGACTTCACACTAATTTGGTTGTTTGGGGGCTAATGCTAGCTGCAGGGTAGCTGTGTTTGCTAATGGCTGCAGCCCAGTAAAAAAGACAAAAAAAATGGAAGCCCAGCACTTTAACCAAAAAACGAAAAAATGTAATCTGGCTGTATTATGTAGTTATATTAGTTAGACTAACTAAACTTAGAAATATAAGTATAATATATTTCTGTTTTGACCAGCATTTTGTCATTACTAGCTTGTTTGAACACATTAATTATGTCTCCAAGAAACTTAAGTGGAACTAAAACTCCAATCTGCTTCATATAAAAACAAGTAGAAAAGTCTCACAATAAAATACAATTGTACATTTAAATATATAGATATATATATATAGATATATATGTATACAGCAGTGTAGCAACCGCAGAGTCAGAAAACACCTTTCATAGCCATTCACTACAGTATCAAGCCAGCCCCATACTACATGTAAATCCATTAGCGACAGAATTACTACACAGTGAGTGATAGTTGCAGGCAGTGGGACAGGGAAGCTGACTAAGCAACAGTCAAGCTAATGAAGAGTTCGTGCTGAAGTGCTGATGGGGGACACATAACCACGCTGGACAGATATACACCGAGTGAGAAAAGATATCTGAAAGTCTAGTGGTCAAGGACCTGGGGGAAATATCCGCAGAGAACAGCTCGCATCAATAATATCAGTTCAGCTCGAGGGATACATCAGTTACATTTACTCTGGCCTTACAACAATGTATAGTGTTTAAATATGGCTTTGTGATACAGGGGCTTCCTGTGTGCTCGGGGCTGCTTTCGCATTAAATTTGTTCTGTGGTTGTACATTAGTGGTCTGCTGTAACTGACAGACATGAGACAATAATGCCCCTGAGCTACAGCATGTACTATTCAGGTCTACGTGTGTGTGTGTGTGTGCATGTGTGTGTGTGTGTGTGTGTGTTCAGGCCCTCACAAGGTTACACAGAACTTTTGATGAGAAAACAAGATTCGAGAGGGTAAGACTAGACACTGGATGGACGAATGTTCTGCAGTTTGATGAAATGTCCTCACAAGGGTAGACGTGTGTGTACAAGTAAGACATTGGTCCTCATTTAACATGTCTTTCCTACCTGTTAATACAGTTATGAGTCCAGTGGAAAAGCACCACAGCTTTTGTCAAATACAGAGTAGCATCTGGATTTAATAAATAAATTCCACTTGGCCAAATGTGCTTTTAAGATGAGAAATGTATGATTTCTATGCCAATTGAACTACCACAGCTGTCTTAATCTGCGTAAAACCTGCTTTTGCATTCGCACATTTTACACTCACTGACTCAAAAACATTACAATTTATAATCAAATTGCAAATTTTGATATGGGTGATCAATCATGGCATTTATTATTCATTTCCAACATTATTTAATTTATGTGAACGTCAGACATGAATATTATCTCACCACTGAGTTCAGAGTGAGTAATACATTTTTGATTTTGGCAGGAAAGCGGGTCACACAGTATGCCCGCTTGATAAATGAGGGCCAACGTCTGCAGCCACACAAGCTGCGAAGCAGTAGAGGCGACGTCTTGTCTGAGGATGACTCATTGCTTCCTGTCACATTGAGGAAAAAAAGCTCGAAACGAAGACCAGGACGTCACATGACCACAGAGTGAGCAGATAAGACAGAGAAGTGGGAAGCATTTTGCCACTGGTCACGACAGTCACTCAGCATGGCAAAGCTAGCACAGGGATATGATAGGTTTCACTTACAGTCTCTGTGCAGGGAGCTAGTGAGGGAGGGGGGGGGGGGCAAAGGCTTGGGCGGACCTTCTACGAAAACCCCAACTACATGTTATCAGCTTCCCCATCGCTGCCATACCCATTGAAAACCTCGCTAAACTCGGCTAAGTTGTGGATGCTGGGGCTGGGCCTCGGACTCTGGCTTTGGCTCTGGCTAGGCTCGGGGCTGTGGCGGGGACTGTCTGTCTGGCAGGGGTAGCAGTGGTGGGGGAGGTGGTGGTATTGAGGGTTTTGGGACTGTGACTGGGACTGGGTCTCCACCTTCATTCTCTTGGCCTCGTTGCGTGACTTGTAGCAGAATTCGATGAGGGCCACCAGCATGGCCAGGCCCAGGCCCCCGACGAGGATGTAGAAGACCCCCGCCACGTTGCTCAGGCTGAGGGCCTGGGACGACTTGTCCTGTAGCCGACGTGGAGAGGAACAAACACAATAAGTCAACGCTAGTTTTAGCAGAGGCAGCAGTAAAGTGCAGACAATCACTAAACATTTACACACAAATAACACAGGTCAATATGGAAAAAGTTCACATCAACTTCACATCATGCATGCACACGCACACACACACAAACACACACACACACACACAACTGATCACAGTCACAATGCACTTCACTTTTCACTACTCTGACTGTAACCTCTCTACTGGTGCACAGCTGTATGTAGCCATGCTAATAAAAAACAATCTCCTGCTATCTTCTTATCCTGCATAGAGTTTTACAGAAAGAAATCAGTTACCGCTCCGTATTAAAGGGTCAGTTCAAATAAACTACAAAAAAAAGCAAAGTTTCCCACTTCACCCCAGTGCAGCTAGACATGCAGACAGTTTTGGTTTTATTTACCCAGGTTTTGCAATATGCACCAGTAATGGAGGTAATTACATCTGTGGTCCAGAAACAATGTCCCACTTACTGTGAATAATCCACTAAGCAGACTGTGTTTCCTTCTAATGACACTACAGCTATACAAGCTGATTCAGTGTCAGACGGTGAGAGACAGGTCTAAAAAAAAAAATACTGTACAATATCATTTTGAGACACGTCACACTGTGAAATTAATACGTGGTGAATCGTTGTGCTACAGTGGACGTAGAAAAAAGTATGAAAATGCAGCAAAAATAATAAACAAGCTTCGGCCTCGTTTTGCTTCCTTCATTTTTGTGTGTGTGTGTGTTTTTTTTTTTCTCCTAAACTTTTTTCAAAAATGGTGCTAATGAAACGATGTGCCGTACAGCGTATTCTGTGTTATTTCATCGCCCAAAGCCGCACTGACACTGTTCCTTAAAGAAGAGACGCAGCGGCTGACGTTTAAAGAAGGTAATTAAAACTGTCTGCACGGGTAGTTACAACCAAAGGGAAATGAAGAAACGTGGGTTTTTTTTATTTATTTTGGAGGAACTGGCCCTTTAATTCTCCTCCATATTTCGACAGGCTGCTCTGCCTCTCAGTTCTGACATTCACCTTTTAACCTCCTTTTATTTAAATGTATGCGGATGATCTCTCTGAGCTCTGACTCTTGCTCCTCCCCGCCATTTATCTCCCTCCGATAAATCACCTACATCCTCGAGGGGCATTCAACTTATTACCTCGACACAAACGACTGTCTGTCATGCTTAGTCTCATTTGCAGGTGATAGCGTGTGTGTCCTGTGCTTAAGGATCTGATTAAGAGGACATGACTGATGTGGACGGTACATGCTGCTGTGTTTAAAAAAATGTGGCAGCTCTCTCTCCATGCTCCAGTGCATCGACAGTGTATCAGTCGTCAGTCAGTGCGCTGCTACAGCTCGAGGCATACAGTAGAAACTGACATCTAGTGTGACATACAGTAACGTATGAACATGCCCTGGGACCATCTGAGGTGACAACCAGTGTGAGTGTGAGCCTTCATCTGCAGTTGCAACACATAGCTTAGCTGCTGTAAAACTGTTAGCGCTGCGCCATGCCTTGTTTCTGTCATGCTGTATCCCTCAGGCTACGCCTTAAGTCTCTACCTGCATGTCTCTCACTCGCTCTTTCTCAGAGTATTATGTGTGTGCGTCATATCAGCCAGCCTGCTGTAATAACAGAACAGTACTGCCAGCGTTATAGAAGTGTGCATAGAGACAAAGAGAGGAGGGGAGGCTCCCGGGCTGGTGGAGACTGACCTTACTTCCCGAGTCCTTGGGTCCACACTCCCCTTTATCGTACCACCATTTGTTTTTCAGTTTGTCTAAGACTCCTGCTTCACTCAGTTTCAATACGGCAAGGTTTACAGGCGTTCTTCAAATCACGGGGGACGGGGAAGGGTGGGGTGGGGAAAATAACATAAATAACATCATAGGACATGTTATTTTATGTTATTCAATCAGAAGAAGCCCAACAAGAGCAACTCAGTACTCTTCACAAAGTGACGAAGCCGGGAAGGGGCCCCACTTATGCTACATGTCTCTTTGCTCATTGGTCAAGATAGTTGTTTTCCGGGGGTGGGGTGGGGGGGTTTGGGTTTATTGGGAGATGTTAAGGGGAAAGGGCAGAGCTAACAGACATATATGCCTGGGGCCCCCGACTGCATCGCTTTTCTGGAACAGGCACATACTGCCGGGACCTTTATTTCAACAAGAACGAAGGCTAGTACTGTCGACCCAGAACTATTGGCTCAGAGGATGCACTTCATGCTCAGCAGTAGACCTAAGCACCCGAGATGGCACTGCTATCATGTTTATTTCAAATAGGCACTTATGACGCTGAAGGCCAAACTTTCAGATCATCTTTCAGTCACTACCATCGCTACATGAGCAGCACAGCAAATATTTTTGCTTCGACAGTACTCGCTCTCCTCTCAGGATTTAAAAAAAAAAACAAAAAACGCCATTTTTCTATCCAGCTGCGTCCAGTCACGAGCATCGTCCCGGCAGATGCCCCTGTTACCAGCAAAACACATTTCTCTGTTACCCGCATTAAGGTCACATGGGCATAGCGACATAGTGGCTAACCTTCTCGCCACCGCCTCCGCTGCCACACTCTCCTTTGTCGTACCACCACTTGTTTTTCAATTTGTCCAACAGGCCTTGCTCATTGAGTTTTAACACTGCCAGGTTAACTGCACTTCTTGAAAACGATAAAACATATTTGGTGAGAGGGGTGAGTATGCTGTCCAATTTGGGAGGGAAAGGAAGAGAAGGGGGGGAGGGGGGAGGGAGGAGTAGCAGTAAGAGAGGGACAAGGGTGGAAAAGTGCATTAATGCTCTAAACTGTTACATCCCATCCCAGGACCCAAATACACACTGAACACAAACCTCTCTCCTTTCATGTGCGGTCCTGAGTACAAGTCATCTCATATAACATTAGTGTTATATATGTTAATAAGTTTACACTAGTGTTTGCCTGTTGTTAAGGGCCAATACTTAATGTCAGTTAGTGTTGTCTACAGTGTTAAAACATCTCATCTCGCATGGTTTTAGTGTTAGCATTAGCTTATACTAGATAGCTAGCTGGAGCTGATAAATTCTGCAAGCGACATTTGTTACTTTAACCGAGAAAATACACAGTTATGGATCCACTACTGCAAATATTGTGCAGATTTTGATTTAAATAAGTGCCGTTCCTTTAAAACAGTGCTTCCCAACTTGGAAGATCCAAGCTGGTTGCAAGATAGGAAAGAAGAAGAAGAAAAACGTATTTCTGCTTCACAGATTATGTTTATTTTTCAGATTTATTTAGCACTAGCGGCGTGGCTCTTTAAAAAAAAAAAAAGGCAATGTCAGCAAATATTAAGTGAATTTCCTCGCCACTCATAGTCCCCAGAGGAGGATTCCTAAAGGCTTCGCTGACGCTCTGATGACCTGATGGATCAGCTAAATGTACAACAAATGGTTTCCAGACAATGAATCCTACTGACTTTGGTGAACGTAGGTACATTTACCTCTAGCGCCACCAGCTGGTCAAATTACTACACGTTTTTATAAGAAGACAATACACTGAATTTATTTTATTAAATCATTTCATTTATTAAATTATAACTGAATATTTTTCTATCCTAAAAGGGATTTAAAAAATGGGCTGAATACTTAATTAATTAAATAAACGTGTTTTGGCATAAAAAGTGACCAATTTAAATATTAAATGTTGGCAATCAGCACCGTCAGTCCCAAAATACCGACCTCAGCCAGCGCTTTTAAAAACAGACACCTCCAAATAATTTGGACCTGGTTTACACATGTATATAGTGTATGTATGTCAGCCAATTCAAAGCTCACAGGATTTCTGAGCGTTAAGCTGTTCTGGAAAATCATGATTGACTTGCATAAAATGTCTATGAAAAGCTGTTTAAAATACGTGTGCATCATAATTTCATGGGTTCTTTTGAAGGCTGCTGTAGTGATGTCTGACGATAGTGGAGAGAGAGAGATTTGCCTCAGCGTGCATTTTGATCCTTTTAATTTATTTGTATCATTATGAAAAATAATAATAATAATAATAATAAAAAAAAGAACAGTCAGTAATGGAGATGGATCAGAGACACAAAGCAACACAGCTGATATTTCAGTTTAAGCTGATGATGTTGTTTTGCGGAGCCATGTGAAAAACAACAGCCTTGACCAACCGCGCTGCCTTCTCGTGGTGTTGCTGGTGTGTTTCCTCGCTGATATCTGGACAAGTGACTGACAGAAGATGATAATCCCCAAAAAACAACAAGATGGAGGCCCGGAGGAAGGGACTACCGTGATCTGTCAGGGACTCTTCCTGGTCAAAGCAGTGGCTGAAAACTGGCACCAGCTTGGCTGCAAAACAAACCAGTAGCTGCTCTGCTCGACTTCAGGCTCGGCATGTGCAGAGGAATTTACAGAAAACAACTAACAGGGTTTGATTAAGTAGCTGTGAGGAGTTGGCTGCTTTTGGAACAAATTACTTTCCTGGTACCTATTTACAAAGGGAAAAAAAAAGCATTAATGTTTGTCTATTGCTTCCAATGCATTCTCTAATCACAAATAATCAATGCTACAGCACAGTTGCTATGTGATGTGCAACAGTGTTGTGCAGGAAGAAAAGAAAGTTCAAGCGATCATGGAGCTGTTATCTACCGGACTGCACATACATACGCACATCTGTGCAGTTTTGGCCTTTGGTATATTTATCCATTCCCTTCAGTGAGACCTTGCCGGCAGGCTTTGATCGATGAGTGCGCGGACTGAAAGTGCAACTCCCCACAGTAATGACACTGTATTCTCTGGCAGGTCTGTAAATTCCACTATGTGCGGGAGGCAGTGACAGAGTCTGGCAGAGTTACCCAGGGCTGAGCGTTCAGATGGCTCCCAAAACACTACTTCAGTCACTTGGTTGAAAAGAAAGAACCAGTCAACTGTGAAGGAAAGCTGGAGTAGCATTAGGTAAATATCACAAACTAATTACATTTGTATATAAAAATGCAGATGATCTCAAACTGCGTTTTTTTTTTTTTTTTTTTTTTCTAAATAAAAAATTTTTAGGGNGCTGGAGTAGCATTAGGTAAATATCACAAACTAATTACATTTTTATATAAAAATGCAGATGTTCTCAAACTGCGTTTTTTTTTTTTTTTTTTTTTTTTCCTAAATAAGACATTTTCAGAGGAGTTAAGTTTACCAGCGCCTCGAGCATGCCATTCCAACATCTTTGCTCAAACAGCAAGCACAAGCACAAAGATTTACCTGGTGTGGAGAGCTGTAAAGAAACAACAAATGAAATAAAAACCACCCCTGCGTCAACACAGTGACCCCCACATGCATGCAACAAACACGGATGTCAAAAAAAAAAAAAAAAAAAAAAGCCACTACTTCTGCCTTACAACAAAACAAGTAAAATGCCCCCCCCCGCCCACACCAAGCAGTAAGTGGAGACAGATAGAGATAGAAAAGGCGGCACACCAGGGAAGGTGGAATACCATAACAACACGTAGAACATATTGTTACACTATTCCACCCACCTTAACTGTGAACCCTTGGGTGTGGCTACTCCGTAGCCTTTGGAGTCCAAGTTGCCTCCCACTTTCATTGTGTCGCACGGCTTGCGCTGCTCTGTGTACTCATTCATAGTGGACTCCAAGAGGAAGGCGTATTTCCCTTTGGACTTGCGGACCCGAGCCACGCCCTCGGCCGTGGTCTTGGTGAAGACTGTGGGCTCGGCCGACTTCATGTATCCCCACATCTTCTCGTAGACGGCGATCTTTGACCGCTGTGGGGTTTTGAAGGGGGTTGGAGGTTCAAAAGTAGATGTGGTGTGAGAGATGAGGGGGAAAAAGCATATCCGCATACAACACCAGGTACAGACAACATGGAGCATCAGTTCATTTTACCATAGTCTTACCAAAGCCAAGGAACAATATGAGCAATTATATGTATATTAACTGTCTCTATAACTTACCTTGTCTGCTGGGGTAGCTGAACTTCTACATGTTGGGTATTCTAGACCTTAAAGGGTAAAGTTCACCCAAATTACATAAACAAATTTTCTCACATACCCCTTAGGGTATCTAGCCATGAAGGTTTTGCCATATCAGTATCTGAGATGTCTCCACCCTTATAAAACAGAAACCTGGGCAATGTAAATGCAATTTGGGTGAATGGACCCAAATACTCCACCCAAAACCTTTTGAGTAAGAAACACTTGCGCCCTATAGGCTTGAAAGGTGGCCGCTAAAAGTTTGTATCTTGCTCCTTCGCAAAGAAGAAGAGGAAATGGTCAGTTTGAATTCATCTCGGTTACATTGGATTCAAATGGTGGGAAGAAATATTCACAGAAACTTATCAAACCACTCCTGCAGCTGGATCCACTCCCCCATGTTCTACTGTCTTCTAGAGAACCTAATGTACGAGTGTATATATATATATATATATATATGTGTGTGTGTGTGTGTATACAGGTGGAGGGTGGTGATGTGATGTGAAACTAACTGACATGAATTCAAGCTGCCCACAGAATTTCAAAGAACTTACCACCTTTCAAGTCTGCAGGGGGTAGAGTTCTGCACAGACCTAAAACTGAGACCTGAACCCAGGTCATACCTGTGTCTTCCCCCTACCTGTTCTGAGAGTAGACCATTAACCCCAGCAACACCCACTCACCCTGAAGAACTCTTTGGTCGAGCCAGAGTCCAAAGTGCCGTAGGCGATGTCGGTCTGCTTGGCCAGGTCCTCCGCGCTCTCGATGGGGGAGACCATCCTCTCCACAGTGAGGAAGGCAGCCAGGTTAGCCGTGTAGGACGAGATGATGATGAGAGTAAAGAACCACCACACTCCTCCCACGATTCGTCCCGATAACGATCTTGGAGAGGGGGAGGAGGGAGGTGGAAGGGAGAGGAGAATGTAGAGGACGGACGAGTAAAGGAAAGGGAAGGAACCAAAAGGAAGGAAGTGCCAGAAAGTAGAGGAAAATGGTCATTGGGGTTGTGTACAAGGTCAAATTAGGAAAAAGAGGAGAGGAGAGCGGGGTAAAGACAAAAACAGAGAAAACAGTCAGTGTTGGAAAAAGTAGACAGAATGGAAAGTGACTGAGTAAAGCATGGAGAGGCTGTCCACCGCTGTGGACACACACAAGAAAAATGCTGATCTGCCACCACAAGGTGGAGCTCTGACAACACTCAACCCCACCAGAGCTTTATTTACCCTTCATTAGTGCAGATTGCCACATAAAAAAAAAATCCTACATGCTTGTGTTGACCAGCTAAGCTACAGGAAAAGGTACACCACTTCTGTCCCATTCTTCCCAACCCCCCTACCCCTTCTCTCTTTTTGTTTATTGGTTGGATGAAAAGAGCTGCAGGTCCCCGCGGCCGGCGTAGCGAGGGCACTGTTCTTTTCTTGTTTGTTCGCTCGGGGGAGACAGATAGCTCGCTGCTCAGGAGCAGCGGAAGGTCGTGAGGAGAATCTTAAACCATAAATGCTGCATTGAGGAGAACAAACAAGATCTCCCCTCGGTGCAAATCAAACAGCAGAGGATACAAAACCCTCAGGCCTCCTTGTCAGATGGAGAGAGAGAGAGAGAGAGAGGGAGAGAGAGAGAGAGAGAGAGAGATGGGGATGTGAGGAGGGGAGCAGAGAGGCATCTGCAACAGTCAGTGTTTTCCTGGCTGGTATTTCCAGCGTGTCATTGCAATCTGGCCGTACTCCATTGTTCCAAATACACACGGGGTACTCTGTTCTCAGTGTCCTGTAATGTGCAATGCATGTGCACGGTTTACGAAAAAGGGCAGTAGCATCCTTCCTCTCAATCGACTCCACATATGATGCAGCCCAGCGCTCAGACACCTGAAGGAGCCGTGATTACCTGCACTATCTGCAGAACATTTTTGAAGAAACATTTAGCGCACTTCTTCTGCATTTTAACAAATCACAGGGTTCTGCCAGCACAGTTCTTACGCAGAACCCGTCACCCTAACCAAAGAATCGCTGAGGAAACCTTTGTTTTCTCGGTCTGTGCTGATGAAAGTGCCTGTGGCGGCTGAGGCAACTTCCAATAGAGAGGAGCTGCAGTAGTGCATGTCTCCTCCACACACACAGCGAGCTTTGCCCATGAAATAGACTTACTTGACGTATTAGCTCTGGATTTGAATACAAATGACTTCCCTCTCTTTCTCTCCCTGCACTCCATTTTCCCTCTCCTTGAGACGATTGAGAGTATTTCTGTGGCTTTTGAGCACAGAGAATTTAACTGTAAAATAATGACTAAAGAGGTGGATGGGTGTGCACGATAAGATGCGAGGATGGGGCCCATCCCGTCTCTCCTCTTTGCCTGGCTTATTTCCTTTTCCTACCTGCTGAAATCCCTTCTGTCTCTCTATCAGACCGTCTGCATCTTTCCCTTTCAGTCTTTATTTTTATTTTTTTCTATGGGAGCAGCAGTGGATTGTGGGGAGTGTAATAATGGGACCAGAGGAGGAGTGTCTCTTTGCCATCCTTCCAACCCCTCTGAGCTGTGTGTTTCCTGGCTGATACCACTGACTCTGATCCACAGTGACACACTGCTGTGTCTTGATGAGCCTGCAGTAAACAGAGGGGATGGGGGGAGGGAGGGAGGGTGAGTGGGTGAGTGGGGGGTGAGATAGGCTTAGCAGTAGGAGTTTGTGTAATTTTCAGACCACATCAGTATCTCCAGTGTGTTTTTCTTTCTCTATTAACCTTGAATTGATGATGGCAACACGTAACGCTAATGGATTCCACATGGCATAATAACAATACAGGGGGGGAGACTCACTGAGGGTTAATCATTTGACTTCTAGGTAGTAAATATGGTTGAATTTCATCCGACGCTGATTCGATGTGTGATGTCATTTATTTGAGATTTATTTTAGATTATTAATTGAGATTATTTTACTAATTTCAGGGTGAAAATTGTGTCTGTTGACTCTTTGTTTGAAGGGAGGATTCAATAATCTGTGGCTTCAGCCGGCTCCTGTTGGTCGGGAGGAAATCTTTACAGCGTGTTGTATTGTTTTCTACTGTACTGTATTTTGTAGATTTATATAATACTTGAGTTAGTTTGCTTCCGTTAAAATTCATGGCAGCATCATAAAATAAAGTAAAATAAATAAATAAATAAATTTTCAATTGCCCCCCCATGTACAAATGAGCTGTGGGCACCTACTGACCTCCCAACTGTCTAGCCTTGTGTAGGTATTAGTTAGTGATTAGAAATACGTTTGCTGTAGCTTGATTAAGCACAGATTTATTGAGGAACATGCAGCACATAAGTCCAATATAAACTGAGATAATAAAGTCTTTAATCCAGGGCTTCAAAGTTATGTAATAAAACAGTGGCTGTAGTGAGTATTTACAGCAGCGGGACGGTGTATGAGGAATTGACTCAAAATAAACTACAGTGCGCATGAGGCTGATTGATGTATTTTTTAATAGTTTGTGCAGAAAATGGAGCTCAGAGGAACGAGCTCTGTCAGGCTTTGGATACACACACAACTCTTGATGCTGAGACCAGTTCATTGATGGTTTTTCAAGAATTTGAGGACAATAAAAAAATACTGAATATTACAAGAATTAGCCTTTACTTTGTACTTTAGTGGTCCGTGCAGTATTATCAAACAATTGATAACTGCCACACAGTGAACCTGAACCACCCTGAGGGTCTGGAGGAAAACAGTTAGCAGCTTTCGTTGTTTAATGCCCAAAAACTATCATCATTTTACAGACACTTTGCAGTAAAATGCACTGACTCATTATATATGCAGAAGTTTTATAAGTATAGTGCAACTTAATAGTTAGAAAATCCTCAAAAATTAACTTTAAGGAGAAAAGTTCTGGAGAGGTTAAGGTCAGTAAATGTTTTTAAGTCTGAGGACTGTTGAATCATCATTTGCATTTTTACTAATATATGTGCTCATCCAAGTGTGGTCCTTACCAGTGTTTTTGCACAATATATAACTCTGCTAAAACGAAAAAAGAAAAAGAAAAAAGAGGAAGAAAATCGAAAATGTTTCACTGCAGGACTTGACTGTAATGATGTATGAGCTGAGTTTTCCCACAAGTGGAGGAAACAAGAAAACCAGCCGGGGAAAGTATTAGAAGAAATAAAGTGGAAACAAAACAGAAATTGGCTCCAGTGTTTTGGGGGAATGGGATTCACTGCAGCAGTCCACGAAGCCTCAGGGTATAAAGAATACTAAATGTAGAAAAAAACAAAAAAAACATGAATAATCTCAGTAATTATACAGCAATTAGTCAGCACTTCTGCCCTACTGGTTAACTTGCTCATGTTAAATTAATTTGTGTTTATTAAATGGGGCAGGAGAAATGGAAAATGGCTGGCGTGGTGTGCATGTTGGCTAGGTGGCATGTTTGATCTGCAGCTATTTATTTAATTAACCTCCACAAGAACTGAACTCAACTGAGCCACACTGAAATCTCAACATGTAGTTTATCAATTTAATCTATTAAATTTACCAAAAAAAAAAAAGAAAGAAAAGAAAATCAAGCATCTTTTCCACACAGCCCAACCAAAAACTGAACTTTATTTCAAGTGCTGGTCTAAAACTTTGAGTTTACCAACGTGACAAGCTGAATTATGGGAAAATGTGTGGAAACCAAAAGTTTCCATCTGATGCAACTGTGCAGCCAGAAAAAAAAAAAGGTGGCTCAGGTTTGAATATTTCACACAGTGCATGCGTCTTATACCGTAGCTTCAAAGAACCATTGGAACAAGCAGCATATGGAATATTACAGTCCGTATACTGTGTATGTGAGACACAGTGAGGAATAATGTTTATTTTCTCAATCTGAATAAAAGAGGCATTTAAAAAGGGGAAAATAAGCTTCGGGAGCTTAAATGAAATTTCAAGGACAAAAAAAAAGCCGGAAGATGAAAGCGGAGAAAATCTCATCTCAGGATTAAATATAATAAGGTTCACGTTAGTATCACTGACCATTCGGCAAACCATCTGACGCACTGTGATGTGAGGTAACAAACTTTAAAAGCGCACAGCTCACATTTCCTGCTTCCCTTCTTTTTTATTTCCTTTGATGTGAAAAGAGAAAAAAAAAATAAAAATACGCAGAAATAAAAAGCTGCTGTCAGAGATGATTTGGTGCAGAGTACGTGTGTGTGTGTGTGTGTGTGTGTGTGTGTGTGTGTGTGTGTGTGGGTTTTCCAGGGGATTTGAGGAATGTTTGTGGGACAGAGAGAGAAGAGAAATGGGGGCAGAGGAGAAAACACGAAGTGGAGGAGGTGATGGAGTGAAAGACGTGGAGAGAGGGACAGACAGCTCTGACCTTGAGCAGAGCCTAAATAAATGAGGAGGTGCTAGTCTGCTCCCAGGGCGGCACCTGGGGCGACCACACTATTTGACTTATTCATAGCAGACAAACTGTCACTGCAGATCCCTTTCTCTACCTCTGTCTCCGTGTCCCGTCATCAGCCTCCCTCCTCGCCTCAGATGCAGCCCTGCTATAAGATCTGAAAATCTGTGCATTACTGCAAACTTTGAAATAAAAAAAGCAGAGACGAAGGAGTGACGGTTGGGTAAAACTCAACGGCTGGGGCAGAATTACCTGAGCTGCAGTAGCTCGCATTGGAATTTCAGTGTAATGTTCATTTACAGACGATTTAATCCATCAACACAACCACATGTTCACATCATACTCACTCCTCTGCTGCTCACACCGTTTTCTTTCACTAATTATTCCACATTATTTTGTGTCTCTTTTGATCGCCGTTAAGCTACGGACAGCAAAACAGCACTTCCTGCTGATTTTTCACATTAAAAGCCTACCAGAAAATGGGGAGCTTATCTTCAAGGCTCTGGAAAGCTTTTAATG